GATGCGGGGCTCGATCCCAGGACCCCGGGATCATGACCTGAGCCGAAGGCAGACGCTTAACGACTGAGCCACCCAGGCGCCCCCACTTAACGCCATCTTAAGCAAATATTTATTCCAATCTTAATTTTCTACGAAAGTTGCGTTGGGAAGACAATTCCACATCTCCTCATTCAGCAACGAAATTCATAAGCATGCTTAAACTTGGATCATCAAGAGAAATATTCAGTGGTTCTCAAGTAAGAGTTGACTCTGTAATTGTGACTTGTGACGCGTCTCCCCTTGCGGGGGACAGACTGATCTTCTGTCCATGGGCCTTGGGGACCCCATCCCATCAAGACTTCCCTAACTGCTCACAGCCACCCTGACAATCTCCCCTTTTGAACTTCTGGGGCATTTATTACAGTATCAAGAGCTGCAAACATTTGCCTATACAAAATTGAACATTTGATTTCATAAAATTTTTACTTATAAAAGATTTTAAACAATTCCTTTAGGATATGTTAGTTTCTTGTAATCTCCTTAATGTCAAGGACTGTCTGATGCCCCTCTTGTCGTCTCTCTGGAGCCTGGCTCTGTGCACAAAATTAACACCTGCTGGTTGCCTGATAAAGTGATTCTGTGGACACGATTCCTATTCTTTCCGTAAGATGCCCTGTGCTTTGACTCCTCATTTTACGAGTGGCTGTCACCCCCAGAGCTGTATTTTTTCTTAGCACCCAAGGAGTGTAGGAGTCACGGGTGAGAATCCAGGGAAGGGACGCTGGGAAAAGTGTCAGTTCCTCAAGGTATAGGTTCTGAAGTTATTTCTATTTCAAACACCTCCAGCAGAATCCCCTCCTCCACGGCACAGGGTGGTGAGGAATTCCTCAGGTTCATGTGGCCAGGGAAGCAGAGCACCCTGCGGAGGCAGCGGCGTGTGTGCGAGCCTGTGCACACGTGCATGTGTGTGCAAGCCTGTGTGCGCACGTGTGTGTGCACGCGCGCACGTGTGTGCATGAGTGCGAGCCTGTGTGCACGCCTGTGTGTGCACGCGTGTGTGCACGCCTGTGCGCATGCATGTGTGTGCGAGCCTGTGTGCGTGCGAGATTGTGTGCACGCCTGTGCGCGTGCATGTGTGTGCAAGCCTGTGTGCTCACGCGTGTGTGTGCGCACGTGTGTGCATGAGTGCGAGCCTGTGTGCATGCCTGTGTGCGCGCGTGCATGTGTGCGAGCCTGTGCGTGTGCGAGATTGTGTGCACGCCTGTGTGCGTGCATGTGTGTGCAAGCCTGTGTGCGCACGCGTGTGTGGGCGCACGTGTGTGCATGAGTGCGAGCCTGTGTGCACGCCTGTGTGCGTGCATGTGTGCGCGCGCGTGTGCGCGTGCGCTCGTACGCGCGCGCGGGACGAGCCACACCCAGGGGACACTGCAGGCTGTTCCAGAAGCAAGCTCCAAAGTTTTCATGAGCTGCAAATGATAAGGACAGAATATTTGGAAAGTATGTGTATGTTTTTCTGGTCTGTTTCTAACAAAGCTCTTTCCACCATCTTTGTGTATTGACACAATTTTTCACAAAAATCAGAGGCATTAAATTAAATTTTTTTTGTTTTTAAAACCGTATTGAAACAACGAATAAGATAACTAAATCATGTATTTTGTTGTGCAGCTGTAGGCACACAGAGTAGAAATGAGAACTGAAGTGAGTATAAGCAGCAATCAAGAGTCCAAAGAGAAGCTAATTCTGTTTTCCTATTAAAGTACAATTTTGTAACTAAACCCTGGGACCCTTTGCTTTCCCCGTTCCCATCACTTTAGCCTGTAAAGGTGAACCAGTATCTGCATCACTGAAAACCCAGTGAAAGTATAAACAAATGATTTATGAAGTTTTTATCCCAATCTAATCTTCAAAAAGAAAAAAAAAAAAACCCTAGTGGAATCCCTAAAACAAACTGGGATTTGGGATTAATTTGGAAAGGTAAAGATTACGCCCAGATGAAAATTCTTCCACCTCCTTAAACAAAGGTGATACTTTACTGTTAGTCCAGCAAATTCACACCCGCCGAGGGACCTCGCGCACAGGCCTGGGGGAAGGCACTGTGGGGCAGGCCCGCGGCCCGTCTCCGGGGAAGTAGGGACGGGGGTCCTGGGGGCCGTGCTCTGAGCGCCCCGGCCTGGGAGGCTGGGGCGGCTGTGAGAAGGGGCCGGGCCGCCGTGCTCACACACTTGGGGGGCTAACAGGACCACAGCAGACGCATGCAGTCCCGCATACACGCACAGCACGCTCCAGGAGCCAGAGACGTCCCTGCCGTGGTCTGGCCACGTTACCTCACTAGATCTTTGTAGAGAAGCTTCGTGGTTTCCAAATATGGGTGAAGCACATCTTCATACTGACAAAGGGCTCCACCGAGGCAAAGATGTTTGAAAAGACAGAACAGAAACTCTTCTCTATCAGGTTGGCTGAATACTTCATACTTTTCTGAGTCTTCCACGAGCAACATCTATGGACAATGATAAAATTCATCTTAATGTAACATGAGTTGAGGTTCTAATTTTTGTTTTCAAAAGTTTCAATTTATTTATTTACATATAATCTAGGACCTATTTTAAGAACCCGTCCTGGACAACTGGAAGGAGTGATCTGCGAGACTGGCTCTCATTTTCCCTCCAGTTTCTCACGAGATACTGAGGTTCAGTGGAAGGGATAAACCTAAATCTAAGCCTTCTCTTCTTCCTCTCTGCACCTTTGTACTAGTTTCTATCTTTAGTCCTTGAGCTACTGCAATCTTAGCGTGGAGTCACCGGAAATCTTGTGGGCAAACAAGGAGCAGTAAATAAATGGAGAAACCTCTCCATCCTTAAGGCCTACCGCCTTCGCTTCAATCCAGAGGCCACCCCAGTGGGGCGTCCTAATCCGCCCTGAGCGTGTGCATGGCCTCCCCGCCCCGCTCACGCTGTCGTGGACTCCAGGCCCCTTCTTCCTACACACCACCAGTCTACACTGGCTCTTGCTCTCTGGAGACCCAACCAGCTCCTTCAGAAAAGAGTGGGACTGGGTCTGACGCGGGCGATTTTCTCATACCATGGGGCGTTACACACAACTAACTAGTTTGTTGATCATGGCAGCTATGAACAAGGGGATGAGTGTATGCTATAACATCCGTTTCTTTTATCGAATTGTCTACACCCCTATCTCAAATGAATATTCACCACAAGGTCACCAGACAAGAGGCATTTAAAAAAAACAATCAACTCTGTGGGGTTGTCCCAGTGCGTGTCCCCTGGATGCACCACCTGCCCTGTGCTCACCACCCCCCACCGCCCGGGGGGAGGAAATAATGTGAGTTTGTAGCTACCTAAAGACCTGGCTCAATACTAAAGCTCTCAGGAATGACGAATTAACACGTTCCTACGTGAGCACTCTCGCTACTGAACTGATTAGGCCGTGCAATGTAAAGCTTACAGGAATGCAAGTATTTGGGGAATAAAGGTGAGAACAGTCCGCGTGGCACACAGCTGGGCGGCGGCCGGGCCCTCCGAGAGCAGGTCCGGATGCTGCATGAGTCAGACTGTGCACAGCAGTCAGGAAGGAGGTCACTGTCCGCCCGTACCGGACACAGTTGGTGCTGCTCAGGCTAACGCTGGACGGCTTCCATTCATTTTCTTCAGCCAGAGAGCGACCAAGTTAAACCCTTCCCCGTTACTGCAGAGTGGCAAAGAACCCAAGAGCAAGGCCGGGAGGCAGCACGCAGGGAAACAGAGCCCAGCGCGTCCTGAACACAAGTGCTGCTCACGGAAGTAACGAAGACAGATCTGCAGAGCAGGGAGAGCACGCTGGCCTCCCGGGACGTCGGCTGCCCAGGCTCTCCGTCCCAGCGATGGCGAGCTCCCTGGGGCCAGGGCCAAGGGCCTCGTGACCAAGGGGCACGTGTGTGGGCAGAGGGCCGTGACAGAGAGATGAGCGATGTCAGCAGTGCCCAAAGGAAGGGGAGCCAGACTAGACCAGAGACGCTTCTTAAAGGTGAATTTCCCACCCTTGGTAAGGAAGAGTAGAAATTAGTGTCAGATTCTCACTCTGTAGCACTTGCGTTATCGTCTGTTACAGATTATACTTCACTACGGAGCAACTAAATACAGTCTCTTCAGTTGTGTGTTTAGTTGTTCTCAATGACTTAATTTTATTTTCTTCTTCAACTAAGAGTTCTCCTAGGTGTTCTCCTAGTGTAGATGAATGCACACACTGGCTGGATGCCCCCTGGTCCCCGACAGACAGAACTGTGTGTGCAGAACGCTAGACTGGTGACTTCCCTAGTTCATGCCCATCTGGATTTGCAAGAAATTAGACTTCGACTTCCCTCTCTCTTAGGGTAGAATAATGTTAGTAATCGGTAGTCATTCATATTCCTGGAACCTTACTAAGCGCCAGGCATTGAGCTACATAATTCTTACATCATCCCTACTTTACAGATGAAGAGAGAGATCAAGTATCACAGTTATTAAGTGGCAGAGCCTGGATTTGAACCTATGTCTATTTGATACCAAAGCCCTGTGCCTGGGTGGCTCAGCCAGTTAACCTGCAGGTCATGATCCCTGCTCGGCGGGGAGCCTGCTTCTCCCTCTCCCTCTGATCCTCCTTCCCCTGCTTGTGCTCTCTCTCTCTCTCAAATAAACCAATAAAATCTTTATTAAAAAAGGCCCTAATTTTTTTTTTTTTAAAGATTTTATTTATTTACTAGAGAGAGAGAGAATGAGAGACAGAGAGCAGGAGAGGGAGGAGAGTCAGAGGGAGAAGCAGACTCCCTGCTGAGCAGGGAGCCCGATGCGGGACTC